GTGTGTGTGTGTGTGTGTGTGTGTCTGTGTCTGTGTGGAATTATACTGCAGAAAGGTTGTATTATGGTTTTGCACCCCTGAAGCGCATAATTGGATATCGTCATGGCAAGAGAATGTGACTGTTATGATAACAGAAACTAAGTGTTCTCATTATGTTCAAAAATTAATTTACTTTACTGTCTGTCAGTGGCTTCAGTTTAATTCATATCTCTGCTGCCCCCAGCTGGACTGTAATGCAAGAAGTGGGAATTAGACTTGCATTTTAGAAGGCTCTTGAAACAGGATTTGTATTGTAATTAATAATTAATGTAATAAATAATGCAAATAATATATTAAAGTGAATAACCTGTTAATGTGTGCTGACTTTAATCATGTTAAATATATTCTTATGGGTTCCAGTGGTATCTGTAGTCTTTAATATAATTTCACACAAAGGTTCTGAATATCCAGTAGCATTATTGAGAGGGTGATGTTGCTTAATATAATTAATATAGAATAGCATACAACATTTCTGGTTAATTTTGAATATTTTTTACTACAATTGAAAATAATTTTATTTTAGTGCAATGACTTTCCGTACAAGAAGCTGTACGCCTACAGTATAGTAAAACGTGACTTCATTCTGGTTGAATCCTCCTTCAGTAGCTCTTTATTATGCTTAATTTATCATATTCATGATACTGTCGCATGAAGCAGTTTTTGTCTACCAGTGTTCAGGAAACCTGTGTATAAACGTTATTTCGGTGCAGAAATTAGTGTCAGTAGATGCCCATCTGAGTGATCCACATCTGTATTCTTGCACATCTGTTTGTGTGTCTAAAGACAGACTCCCTGTGTCTGTCCGCAGGGATCTCAAAGCTGGAAACATCCTACTGGGGGAGGACGGATCAGTGCAAATCGCAGGTACCAACTTTCTCTTTAACTGCACTTACTTTCTGCTTAACAGTGAAAAATGCCCATTATAGTCCAGATAATCCGAAAAGCACAAACATACTGTACTGCTGTGATATTTAAAGATCTTTTTTTGTTTGTTTTTTTCTTGCTGAAGAGAGATTTTCTTGCCTGACATTTTCAATTCTTGTTGTTTAAAAGTTTGGGGGCGGTAAGAATTTTAAATATTTTTGAAAGAAGACCAAGACTACATTTATTTGATTAAAAGTACAGTACAAACAGTGATATTGTAAAATATTATTACAATTTAAAATAACTGTTTTAATATATTTTCAAATGTAATTTATTCCTGTGATGGCCAAGCTGAATTTTCAGTAGCCATTACTCCAGTCTTCAGTGTCACATGATTCTTCACAAATCATCCTCATATGCTAATTTGGTTCTCAAGAAACATTTGTAATTATTATCATGTTAAAAAAATTGCTCAATTGCTTAATATTTTTGTGGTAACCATAATGCACGTTTTTAGGATTCTCTGATTAATAGAAAGTTAAAAAGAACAGCATTTATTTGAAATATACATATTTTGTAACATTATAAATGTCTTTACTATGACTTTTGATCAATTTAATGTACACTTACTAAATAAAAGTATAATTTTTTTTATATATGTAATAAAAGCATCCTGACCTCAGACATTTGAACAGTAGTTTATACATCTGAATATTGAAGTGTGTAACATATTCATGTAAAATTTTTCTATATATAGATTTTTACAGATTGCAGTTCCCTTATTTTAAACATACTATTCCTAAATAATTTATTTTAAGTGCAGTGTTTAAGTGCCTTTAAGTGCCCGCTTTCTGAATTGCCATACTGAATTTTGTTATATCATATGCAATGGCAATAAAGCATGTTACTTATTATTTTAAACTGTGATATATATATATGTTTTTTTTTTCTCTACATTTTGATAAGTGATTTTTTTTTCTGTTTAGATTTCGGTGTAAGTGCCTTCTTAGCCACTGGTGGTGACATGACTCGAAATAAAGTGCGGAAGACGTTTGTGGGAACGCCATGTTGGATGGCTCCAGAAGTGATGGAGCAGGCAAGTATTTCCACCCAACAACCACGGCTCATTTAAAGCCATACAACTGAGATCACATGGTATTAAATTGGAAAAATGCCAAACAGAAGCATTTTCTCTTGTCTCAAACTGTTGGATCTCACTGTACGTGGACTGAATTACATGGACAATTAAAGCTCTTATTTTGTCCTTTTAAAGTCTAAAGATTTCAATGTGGTGTAAAATTGCCAGTAACTGCTGGCATATCGATGCATCTCTCGTGTTAAACAAATCTGTGACTGTTTGTGTGCAGGTGAAAGGTTACGACTTCAAAGCAGACATCTGGAGTTTTGGGATCACGGCTATCGAGCTGGCCACAGGTGCAGCTCCTTACCACAAATACCCTCCTATGAAGGTGAGGAAAGAGCAGGAGATACAGTCCCATACGAGCTCTAATGAATCTTACAGCTGTTTCAAGACAGTCATGCATCACTCTTAATGAGAAACGTGTTGTTTTTATAGCATGTGGGGTGTTTGTGTTTGCAGGTGTTGATGTTGACCCTGCAGAATGATCCGCCTTGTCTTGAGACTGGAATCACAGACAAGGAGATGGTGAAGAAATATGGGAAATCCTTGAGGAAGATGATCTCGTTGTGTTTGCAGAGGGACCCAGAGAAAAGGTGCTGAGCAGAGCAGCAATGATCTTGTTAGGTCATGTGAGAAAAATACACTACTGTTCAAAGGTTTGAGGTCTGTAAGATTTTTAAAATGTTTTTTTTTTTTCTCTTATGCTCACCATGGATGCATTTATTTGATAAGAAATACAGTAAAACAGTAATATAGTGAAATAGTATTACAATTGAAAATAACTGTTTTAATATATTTTAATTTTTATTTTATTTCTCTTGATTTTTCAGCATCATTACTCCAGTCTTCAGTCTTTTGTAACATTATAAATGTCTTCGTAACATTTTATAAATTTAATGCATCCTTGCTGAAAAAAGTATACATTTCTTAAAAAAAAAAAAACTTACTGACCCCAAACTTTGGAACAGTAGTGTATGTGTCAAGTAGTATTTAGCTGGTCATGTGATCTCACCATGGCAGCCACCAAGACCTGCTCAATAAAAAAAAAATTGCTCAAATATTTTATTCGGCTAATATATGATTTTAACCATTTTCTAAAAGTGCACTTTTTCTGTGTAAAGTTTTTGAAAGAGGAAAAAAATTTTTTTTTATTTTTTTATAAATGACTGTTAATGCTGATATTGCCTGATAACACTAAGTTACAGCAAATATATTTCAATAGTGTTTGCTTTTTAGGCCGACATCATCAGAACTCTTAAAACATAAATTCTTCCAGAAAGCCAAGGTAAGAATCTTACTTCCAAGACTTTTTTTTTTTATTGTCCATGTTATCCTGTTATCATTTAATCACCCTCATGTTTTTGCAAATCTGTATGTCATTCTTTCTTCTGTGTAACATTAAAGATGCTTTTTTTAATACAACAAAAATGATTAATATGCTATTGTCATACTCAAAAACAGGACAAAAAAAACGAAAACACACTCAAAACATAATCCATACTGTATTTCTTCTGAATCCATACAATGTTTTCACACTATATTTGAATCCAAATGCAGAGGTGTAAATTGAAAAGATCAGTGAAAACAAACTTAAATTTCGTTATTTTAGTGATTAACAGTTTTATTGATTCATAGGCAAATTTCAAAATAAAATACAGTAACTCTGAATCAGCATTTTACCCCGTTACCAAACCCATCCCAAACTAGTCCCCAACTACAGCTTTAAGGACACAACTTGACTATAATTAAATACAATTAAAACATCCTTCAGTATATAATGATGAGAAAACTAAATAAATAAAATATGCTGAAATAAAATGTATAAATTAAATCCCATCTTATAACACATCACATTTACACTGTCACTATCAGCATATTTCTCACACATAGCTATTACTGTCCCATTTCCAAATCGGTTAAGTACTTGGACCATTTTTTATAGTATAGGTTTAGCTTGTCCGTCTGCTTATAAGGCGTTTTTCAAATGCAGCCGTTCTAGCTAGTTCTGCTACCCATTCCTGAAAGGAAGGGACATCCTCTGACTTCCAGCTTCTGATAATTATTTGTCTGCCAATCATTAAACTGGTTTGGACCCAGGATTGATTGTGTTTGTCTCTTATTTGAACTCTGTAATAGCAAGATTGAAGGCAAGGCAGACTGCTCAATCTTATACCAAGGGGGAGCTTGCTCTGGGGGAAGTGACCAATGAGCCAGGTGTCTAAGACTAAAAGCATAAGAATAATACAATACATTAGGCAGGCCTAAACCACCTTTCTCTCCAGGCCTCTGTAACTAACCGAGATCGCTTAACATTCCAAATAAAATTCTTACACATTCTGCCAGACTATTTAAAATAGGAAAGTGATATTTGTATTGGGAGAGACTGTAGTAGATAATTCAGTTTGGGTGTACGACTCATTTTAATTACATTGACTTTTCCAGCCATTGATATGGAGAGTGGAGCCCACCTATCCATATCACAGGAATTATTTTTCATTAAGTGGTCAAAGTTAACTCTCACTAAATCCTTCAAATCCAGGGGAAATAAAATACCTAAATTAGGCCATCGATGCTGGAGTTGAATCTGAGTGTCAGCCCATGTTGTAATTCAACTGTAATTGTGGTTATTACCATAATTTCGAAAAAAAATATTTATCTTTGTGTTCCATTTTTTTTGGCAGAATAATGAATTCCTGCAGGAGAAATTATTACAGAAAGCACCTACAATTACAGAAAGAGCGAGAAAGGTGAGGCAAATTTAGTATGATGCTTTATTAGGTGTTATTTCTATTGTTTTATGATGTTGTCATTTGTTTATCGAGTTATACCCTGTTTTATGAGGTGTTTATATATTATTATTATTATATGCTTCTCATTTTCATATACTTATTTATTAAGTTTTACGTTTTTACCAGTTTTTATGTATATGCAGAGCACCACAAATTAAAATAATTTCTCAGGGACAATAAAGAATACACTGTGTAAAAAAAAAAATATATAAAAAATTCTAAGTCGTAAATAAAACAAATTATTGGAGTATGTTTTACAAAAAAAATTTTTTTGTAAATATTTGTGAATTTACTAAATTTACTAGCAATTTCTGAGTGAGTGAAAACTGTTTCAAAGTAAACCCTACAATCAAACATCAAAAAGTGAACTCCTAATCAATTTGGAATGAATGAATGAAAGATATTTCAAAAACTAATTGAAACTAATTAACTCTTTTTATTCTACATGATGGATAAATGTAAAAATATAATAATAATACATATGAATTAATTTGAAAAAAATGTAACTTTTATATATTGTGTGTGTTTGTGTGTAGGTTCGGCGAGTTCCTGGCTCCAGTGGGAGACTCCATAAAACAGAAGATGGACAATGGGAATGGAGTGATGATGAACTGGATGAGGAGAGCGAGGAGGGCAGAGCTGCTGTTGCTGCCTTACGGGTAACGCGCGCTCACACACACACACACACACACACACACACACACACACACAAGCATAATTTCAGACCCTTGCTGAAGACATAATTTTGAGAGTTCCAGCACCAGTGGTTTGCCCTCTTTGTGTGTGGTGTTTGTAATGCTGTTGGCTGTTATGGCACCTCTCATCCCTGGGCTCTGTGTTTTGTGTTTGCCGCTAAAGGAGCAGCAGTCCAAGTCGACAAGGCGACAAGTCCGTTTCTCTCAGCCTCTTGAGCTGCCCCCACCCAGGGTTGTTCAGTTTTCCCGCTGATACAGATGACTCACCTTAACAAGGAAGCACACTCAGTCAGACACAACATTAGGACATGCAGGAACTGGAAGTGCTAGATAAAGAGAAAGAAAATTTGTTTAGAGAGCATTATATATCTGCTAATATTCTTGATATCTAGCTTCAAAGACTAAAACAATAAAGATACTAGAGTTCAGGTTGGTTAAGGATGAATGTTGAACCTTCACCTGTCTGTGACAATCTGTTTCTCTGCATATCTATGCAAGAAATAATCATGTACAGTATAAAATAATTTAGATCGCTTAATGTGATAACTTTTGCTCAATATCTTCTGCTTATTATGAACCTATAGCTTATATGTGCTACAGAATTACCTATTTACCTGGCTTTTTAAGCTTAACCACATACTCTAATCTCAATGATTAAACTGTGGTAAAGCAAAAATAGTGTAACCAAACTGTTCTTACTAGGAAAAACAGAGAGACCGACTTAAAAGTGATGATGTGTGCTTCCTAGAATGCCATCTGTATCGTGTTTTTATTTATAACTTTGACATACTGACCAAATCAATGATCTCTGATAACCATCCAGATTCTGTTTAACAGCCTCATAATGAGACTTCTGTTGGTTTAGGCACTAACATGCAATATGGTCACTTCTGGTCACTACATGATCTTTGTATTCCAGTATAGAAATCACTTTGTATCTATCTGGCCTCAAAACAACAGTAGTGTAAGTCTGAGCAAACCTTAGGTTAGGTGGCAGTGTTTAATTGTGTCTGTTTGGGAATACACTGGATGTATGAAGTTGATACCATTGAATAGAATATGTTTTAGGCAGATATTGTGTAATTTGGTTGCGTATCTTAAAACAATCCCAGTAGTCCTTCAATTCTTGAAGGATATTTTACTAAAACTATGAAATACTTCAAATTCAAATACTTCAATAGTTCAATTATAGCACAAGCGTAAAATAAAATACTCACGAAGGACCTTAACTCCCTGCTTCATTCCTTACTACAGTGCATTCAAATCCAAAGCTGAATTACAGTAACCCAAACCATTATATATTATTACAAGAGACTTGAGCTTGACCTTTGACCTTTTATCTCTCTCTCACAGTCACCAAGAGTAAAAGAAGGACTCCAGAATACAGAGGTATGTAGACCATAAGCAGAGGCGGACTTAACCATTAGGCAAAGGTAGGCAACCGCCTTGGGCCCCCAAAAGCCAAGGGCCCCCTAAAATGCTTTTTATATGCGAGATGCGCGTTCAGTGCTGACGCACAAGTGGTTGCTCTGGTGTTCATTACCACGACAACCGTCTGTGCGTCCGCGTTGAACGTGCTTCTTAGCAAAAGTAGGGCGATGTAGAAAATGGGGACGGAATCCCGGAATCTATTCATAAAAACGGAATTTACTGTGTAACGCGGAATGTGACGGAATGAACGGCGCAGACGCGCGTTTCGTTTGCTAGTTTGCTGTTTAAGCACGCGCAACGCTCGCGGTTGTCATCTGTAGTAGCTAAATAGTATTTTTGCCATTTAATATTCACCTACACTAGTCCATATCGCGGTTTGATTGAAGTGTACTGAATTGTATTTGATTTATTCATTCAATATTTGACGAATTCTGTGACATTGCTCGTTACACAGTAAACTTCTGTTGTGTAGCATTTTGAATGTACAAAAATTAAAGGGTTTGTTTAATTTTCATTGGAATAAAAGATAGATTCATGTTTTTGCCTTCATTTGATTACCAGAAAAATGAAAATACACAACACAGAATTAAAAAAAAATAAAATAAGTAAATACAATTTAAACTTAAATTTCATAGGGCCCTATTATTGTATACAAATTAATACATTAAGTTGTTTTTATGAATTCAATTAATTAGATATGTTTTTGATTAAACCATTAAAATGGAATACAGAAAAATTAAAATAAAATAAAAAAGAAAGTGCAGAATTTGGGCCCTAAGAATGTAATTTTTGTTAAACTTTTAATAGGCCTAAATTGCTGTTAAATTAAACAAGTTTCATGGTTTTAATTAATTAGACATGTTTTTTGTTAAAATTTAATATAATCATCCAGAAAAATTAAAACGAAAAAAAAAAAAAACTGAATCCAGAAAAATTAAAACTGAAAAAAATAAAGATTTTGGAAAAAATTAAACTTAGGCTAATTTTGGAAAAATAAAATGGATTTCATAGGGCCCTACAAATATCATGCATCTGAAGCTATAATTTTAATAGCAACAGTGCATATTATATAGGGCCTATTTTAATTCTTTTAAATGGCCCTCACTCGATTTTGTGAAAGACCCAAGAAGGACCATGCACAGTCACTTTCCACACAGGCACACTTCATGTTTGGTTGAAATAATCCTTAAGCATGTAAATTTATAATTTCCTTCAGTTTAATTTAAATGTGCAATTAAAATAAATAAAAAATAAATGTATATTTTAAAGTTTAGAATTAGACAGCCTTGCGTTGTGTAGACAATTGCATAGTGAAAATGACCCCAACGCACCACCTAGTGTCCAACCTACTCTAATACTATTATAACCTGTTTAAATGTGAACAAGGGATTTACAACATTAAAGAAATCCTTTATTTATAACATGTACATGAAAAATCTCAAAGATTAGACACAACTATGGGACACGGTCGTACAGCAGCGAGCAACAGTGAAAGGAACCTCAAGGTTGTAAATGTGTGAAATTAGGGCCCCATTCCTGTATTTTGCCTGGGGCCCCCAAATCACTAAATCCGCCCCTGACCATAAGGAACCTTTCCAAATACCATACTAATAAACTATTCGTATGATTCCTGCAGTATGTACTATATATCATATAATGCATTTATATGATACCTAGCATGCATTTGTATGCATGAAATATGTAGATGACCTATTGTATTTCGCAAAATAAATGCAACATTAATACTGTATCCTGCTATGCAGTGCCTATTTTAAAAAGTAATGAAACATTTTATTTGGAAAAACATTACTTTTTTGTATTTTTATTGCACTAAGTCAAGTCTTTAAATACAATAATTTTTAAATAAAGTTTAATTAAAAAGCACAAAATAACTATTTTATTTCCAAACTAGATTCCACTCAAGTGCATCTATACTATGTATACTATGGTCATTACTAAAAAAAAAAGGGAAAAAAAGAATAGAGTTTATATTTCACTGTTTTTTATATTTATAACATAATTTATAAATGTTTGTGTGGGTCTGTGCATGTATTTGTAGATATTCCAGCCTTTCAGCAGTCACCTCCAGCCTGAACTACCTCAAGCTGCTGGCCAGGGCCCGGCCAACACTCAACACACTGCCCCAACTACTACCCCAACCCCAGCTGCGAACCCTGCGCAGGTAGATCACCAACAGCAAATCATAGTTCACACATTTTGACATCTCTATTCCAGTCAAAGCTGTTGTATCAAGCATGAAGTTAGGAAATTAGGCCACCTCAGTCTGTACAGAGAGTCTGATCCTCTGCCTCTGTCTGTAGGTCCCAGTTCCTGGAGCCGATGCCTCACCGTCCCCGATCAGTTTAGTATTAAGGTTAAGGTAAGATGTGTTTGTTTTTTATGTTTTGAGTCATTTATTGACATTGATCCAGTGTTAACAGGAGCAGTAGATGACTTATATTTCTCCTTCCGTCCTATAGAAACTTGAAAAAGGAACTGAATGACATACGATTTGAGTTCATGCCAGGCAGAGGTAAGAGCGTAAAGATGTGGCTAATCGTCAACAATAAATCAAGCAATAATTACACTTGAATAAGTCCACACAATACGCTCTTAAAGGGATACTCGTCATTTACTCGCCCTCAGGCCGTCCCAGGTGTACTTTCTTTCTTCTATGGAACACAAACTGAGATTTTTAGAAAACAAAATCTTTTCTGGCAGTGAATGGGTCCCTCAAAGATGACACTTGAAAATACATGCTAAACAAACACGATGGTAATCCATAAGACCCCAGTTGATGAATCAATGTCACTTTTATGAGTGGAGTATCCCTTTAATGCAGATTTATTCCCAAAGAGTTCATGACTCTTTAGAAAAACCACTCAGTATTGTGGCTGACAGTTGTCACATTTGTCAATCTCAATCGGTTTGATTTACACACTTGGGCAGTTCTATTGTCCAACATGTTTTTCTTTAACAAATCAATTTAACACCCATTTAGAATCAGTTCCTCTTTATCTCCAGCAGAGGCCAAAGCAAAGCACGAGTACATTTTTTCTACCCCATCAGATGTCAAAGAGCACCAACTCTGCATCTGCATTTTGTCAGTGCCGTCACCATGTTGTGAATTTTCAAGACTCCCAAAATAAAACATTTAGTGTCATGTGCATTTAGCTGGCTCCAGGGGAGATGTTCATTTCTGATGGCCTGATGTAGTGCTTGAGAATGCTCTTCTGCCCGAGCACGCCTTCATTCTGCTCTCTGAACTGACTGTAGCATGTTGTGTGCAGCTGATCAGTTATTAAGTTGTCAGCCTCATTCTGGAAGATCTACAAGCTTGTCAGTTCAAATATACAGGAGGTTGTAATTTGCCAGACTGAGAGTTTATTGGTCTAAGCAAGTCATTTTAAAGTGGAGTTAATGCATCGCATGCATTTTCTTTTTCTGTAGACACAGCAGATGGGGTTTCTCAGGAGCTGGTATCGGCCGGCTTGGTAGATGGGAGAGATTTAGTTATAGGTAAGGATTCTTTTCGTTATTTTTCTTTAAAGAAATTAATAGTTTTATTGAGCAAGAATGCATTAAATAAATTTGATTCTGTTTAAAATAAATGCTTTAAAATATATTTTTTTTTCTGGTCATCAAAGAATACTGATCCTGGGGCGTGTTAGAACGAGCCGTTTTAGGGGGGCGTGGCAGAGTCTTAACTTTGATAAAGAATATCTCTTTGGTTTTGAAACTTTAGTCTTTGCAACTTCAGGGATCTTATCTATGCACAAACCGCTTGTAACACTCCAAAGAGAAAGGAAAACTTGAAATCGCATCATATGACCCCATTAAATAAATGTATCACGGTTTTTCGCCAAAATATTAAGCAGCACAACCATTTTTCAACATAGATAATGATAAAATGTTTCACCGAATCAGCATATTAGACTGATTTCTGAAAGATCATGTGACGCTGAAGACTGATTATGATGAATTCTTAATTATAATATATCATGGTCCTAAAACTCTGTTTCGTGTCATTTCAGTGGCTGCTAATTTGCAGAAGATAGTCGAAGAGCCTCATTCCAATAAAAATGTCACATTTAAACTGGTGAGTGACTTCTGGTTTGGTTAAAGCCACTGTGTGTTAGTCCTCATTGGTGTTTGGCAGTAACACGTCATGTGTGGTGTTTTTCAGGCCTCTGGCGTTGAGGGATCTGAGATTCCTGATGATGTCAAACTCTTGGGATTTGCTCAGCTCAGCATTAACTAAACTTTGGCTCTGTGTGGGACCATGACTTGCCTACAAATGTGAAAACAAACCAACACTACCAACAGAATGACACATTGATGCATTTTTTCCCTCTTTCAATTGCCCTAAAGAAACCACTGTTGCCAAAGAGAAAAGTACCAGCCCATAGGATTTCAAACGGCCCAGTGGAAGAGTTGCACAAACATGAGAATGATCAGAATTTGTAGGAATCGATTAAAATAAAGTTTAGAATTTATTTGTATAAGCATGCAATTATCATAACCAGATATAACCTCTTAATGTTCTTCTAATGTTTATCTTTCTTTTCTTCTTTTTTTTGTTTGTCCTAGTTTTGCAAAATCTGTACGGACACCCTAAAAATTAACAATGTAAAAATGCCTCCAATATAACTACTGAGCGCATATAAGAGGAGTGAAACTCAAAGAAACATGGAGTTTATAGAGGAAATGAGTAAATGGGTTTAGCTATAGTTATAGCTTTTTTTTAACCTATATTTTTTCTATGCTTTTGAAGAGAAGCAGCTAAGCATGTTTTATCACACCGCTTGCATTATTTAATTAAGTTCAGTTTAAACCAGCTTGACGAACATTTACAGAATCTGATTTTGAAATTTCAAACAACTTTTACTTTCTCTGCTGTTATACACAGAGCTTGATTTCTTCATTGTACACTGACTAGTATCAATACAAACACAAAAATTCTCAAATATTTCAGATGCTACAGATAAGCTGAATAAGTTTAAATAGTTTATTTAGTGTCATTGAGCCCTAATGAACACTCCTAAAGGCTGGTTTTACTGCTTTTTCCTTTGTTGGTGTTGGTATTTTTTTCATTAATTTTTTTTTTTTTTGGCTGTCTCAACTTGCCACATTTGCAAATGTTACTATCTCATGCTGCTCTAAAGTTATTGCCTTAATATTTCTACACATTTTTGCATCACACGTATCTCTCCTTTTTTAGATTCTGCATTAATTTGTGAATTTTGGTTTAAATTTTTTGACATTATCTGTGACTTCTGCTCATTTTTATAAGTATCTCTGTAAGTGAAAAGGTAGTAGTACCTGAGGTACCTGATGAAACTTTGGGGTTTGGCTTTTTCCTGCTCTGGAATTGAACTTAGTATTCATGTGTATTTCTGATGTGGATGAACTCGATTGAGCATGTAAATAATGTAATTTGCCATTGGTTTGATTTTATATGGGATGTTTCACTCATGGCCTTCTTCATAAATAAGGTGATGGGAGGTGGTGTCAGCTACAAAAGACACATTGTGAGTTTTCTTGGTTTGTCTTTGTCTATGAGGGTGCCTATGATCACAGCGGGATCTTAGGTAGCATAAATCTCCCTGGTGTTTTTTTGAGCAGGTCTGTTCTAAATTGCTGAAGTTCTCTTCAAATTCATGTGAGAGGTTGTTTACTTCACCCAAGAAATCTCATTTAAACATATCGCTACCTGTGTGCAAGAACGGCCTGGAATAATCTTAAGCAACTTAATTATTTTAAAGCAGTGTTTCACCTGATTTTATTATTATTATTATTCCCCTTTGCTCTTTTTGACATTTTAATGTTAGGCTTTAATGTTGAATATATATATTCAACTAATTATTAAATAATTTAAAACATTTTTCCTACTTTATTTTCCAGTTTTATTGGGAAAATTCAAAAGATAATAGGAAGTAAAAAAAAAAAAAAAAGATTTGACGCAAAAGTATTTTCACCTTGTTGCAATCACAACAAAGCTGTCCACTAAAAATAGGAAAAAAATTATAAATTGCTTGCATTGAAAAGGCTTTTTTTGCTTTGAGTAAGGAATTTATTCTATGTAGATTTATATAATTATAGCATATAATTATATTATATCCAGTCTTAATAATAAAGCATTTCATAAGGTCGCACAAGTGTGGATCTATATAATTATACCATGTAATTAAATAATATCCAGTCTTAATAATAATGCATTTCATAAGGTCACACAACTGTCCTGGCTTTTTGCGAAAGTCCTTAATGTGGAACAGTGTTATACAAGGACAGACGCCTTCACAGTCAGTTTACTGTAAGCAATAACAACAACAAAAATTAAAAGCAAAAACTAAATTATCAATTTATTTTTCCTTTATATTTTCACTTAATTTTTTTTTTAGCTTGTGTTGAATTTTAAGGCATGTTTTTAAATGCTTTAAAATCAATAAAGAATGAATTTAAAAGGTGCCTAAAATGCCTCCTTATTGGTATATATTACTGTATTTGAATATATTATGCTCCCGCAGAGCTGAATTATATAAAAGTTGTTTATTTTGATTTACAGCAAAGAAAAACTACTTAAGAATAACAAAACATTTGAAGTTAACTGATAAATAACTAGTAAAATGTAGAAAATGATTTTAAAAGGCACATTTTTCGTCAGGTTACCAACATTCTTCAAAATGTCGTCTTTTGTGTTCAACAGAGAGAAATGCACACGGGTTTGGAACAACATGAGGGTGCTTAAATGATGGGTGAACTAGCCCCCAAAAGGCCGCAACTGCATTAGCCTCATGACCCAAAATCCCTCACGCACACACGCTGCTGGAATTCCTCAGTACATTTCAACCACTAGAACCAGCTTATTAACCTGCTATTAAATACCTTTTTTGCATAAGAACATATTTTAGTACAATTCATTTCAAATCTTTTGGCTGCCCTTATCGCTGTGAAAAAGCTGCTTTATCTTTGTCGTGACAGATAAGAGCACGTGCAGATATGCTGAACCTGTGACACGTTTAAAAATTAATTTCACTCCGCGAAGGTGAACCGTTTTGCAGGTGTTTTAAGCGCGAGCCGCCGCTGACGGTCGTGCAGCAGTGATCATAATAGACTTCGCGCAGATCCTGTCGTCTGTCGGCGAGTTTGGGGCGTTTCAGAAGCGCTTGCTGGTGGCGGTTTGTCTCCCCAACATCTTCGAAGCTTTCCACATGTTCGGTCAGGTCTTCACCGCCATCAGCTTCCCACACAACCGCAACAGCAGCTGGATCGTAGAGCGTGCTCCCAACCTGACAGAGGATAAGCAGCTGAACCTTACCATCCCTCAGGACAGTAATGGACAATATGAGAGCTGTAAGATGTTCACACCTGTTGATCTTGAGGTTATTTAAGCTTATGGAATAAACACGACGACGCCATGTACTTATGGATGGGTTTATAAGGCACCAGAAGGCATCAGCACTCTTATAACTGAGGTAATCAACTTCTTTACCCTACAGTTTTCGTTTTTATACAGTCTATGGTTTATTTATTTATTTTACTTTAAAAGTAAAATAGATGCCGAAATGAAGTGATTTTTCACATGATATTTCTTTTGCTTATGTACTAAAATATCATAAACTAATAATAGCCATAAGTAGTTTATATTTTCCACAATTAGCTCATAAACATAAGGTGTTTTTGTCTCAACTGTACCCATATAGGGTACAGTTGAAGCAGTACCATGGTTGAGACACCCATTCTTAATGCTCTAAAGCTGGCTAACCATTTATTGCAAATGTAATAAATTACAGTTGTGCAATTTTTTTTTTTAAATTCAGATTTATTTATTCGCTTTCATTCAGATTCAGTTAAACAAAATAGGAACAAAATTCACTCCTTCCTTCTAAAACATACCCTTGAATCAAAAGTAATTTTTTAAAAATGATCAAATAACATGAAAGGATGCCTTATCAGATGAAAGCAGAGAACACGGCAAATAAAGGCACCATGCTAGACCTCTTTCGAGTGTATTACCTGAGAAAGAGAGCTCTCATCATGTGCTATATGTGGTGAGTTATGCCAGCATTTCCCATATCTATTATATATCCAAAATGTGGTAAGACGTAAAGAAAAAACTACCCCTTACCTTTGATGCTTTATCCAAGTTTACCATTCAGGAGCTTTTATGTGGGTAAACCTCTTTAAAGTACCCCAGTTTTCAATATTAAATACAATATAATGTTAAATGCAACAGCATAAAATGTTAACAATAAAGCATTATCAGTGAGAATTAAAGACTGATCTTGCAACCAAATCAAGCTATGTAACCTTTTCTAATGTGATTAAAAAGGCAGCCGAGCGTATTATCATATGTTTATTTATGCCATCATAGGTTTGTGACAAGCCTGGTTTACTATGGCGTAAGCTTGAACGTGGGGAACTTCGGCCTGGACATTTACCTGACTCAACTCATCTTTGGCATTGCAGAGTTTCCCGCCCGCCCGGCTGTCCTGCTTTCCTCTCATTCAGCGCTTTGGGAGGAGGATTTGCCAGAGCGCAATGCTGCTTCTTGGAGGCACCGCCTGTCTGATTACTCCTGCTATACCAGCGGGTGAGAAACTTCAGAGTCTTGTTTTAGAAGTACAGAAAAAGAAGAAAAAATTTGCCTCCAAAATTTGTGAAAATAATCAAAAATGAAAATGTTTACAATTTGTTTTGCTACATCTAATCATTCTACATAAAGTGGCCACAAAAAGTATTTGAACGCCTAAACCACACCTAAAAATCGACCAGCAGCCATATCACCCTGTAGCTCAAAACTAGGTTGCTGCCGGAAGAGGTGTTAGTGAGGCCAGCAGGGGGTGCTCACCCTGTGGTCTGTCTGGGTTCTAACGCCCCAGTATAGTGACGGGGACACTATACTGTCAACAATCACCGTCCTTCAGATGAGACGTTAAACTGAGGTCCTGACTCTCTGTGGTCATTAAAAATCCCAGGATGTCTTTCGAAAAGAGTAGAGGTGTGACCTCGGCATCCTGGCCAAATTTGTCCATTGGCCTCTGATCATCATGGCCTCCTAACAATCCCCATATCTACTGATTGGCTTCATCACTCTGTCTCCTCTCCACCAATAAGCTGGTGTGTGATGGGCGTTCTGGTGCACTATTGCTGCTGTCGCATCATCCAGGTGGATGCTGCACACTGGTGGTGGATGAGGAGATACCCCCTGACAATGTAAAGCGCTTTGAGTGCCTAGAAAAGCGCTATATAAATGTAATGAATTATTATTATTATTATTATTATTATTAAAAATGTACAGCAAATGTTTTACCATATGTTTACCATATGGTTAAATGCATGTACTTTTTAACCAAAACATTTCATAAAAATAAGTTAGTTATATATACAATATAATACAATAGATATATTATTTAAATGAAGACAAAAACAGTATCTTAACACTTTCAGATGGTGAAATGTTATTAGAATAGAAAAACCAAGCTAATCTCATGAGAATTCCTTGTGCTAGTTTCGAATGAATTAGTACGATCTGAATGAATTGTATACTTTGTAGGCAAAACGTCACCATGAAAGTCCGCCCTCAGGAGGGCACGAACCGATCGTACATAGTTTGTACTTATGAGATTGTACAAATGCATGTGTATTCGCAACAAATTCACCAAATCATAAAATTCTTAGGAATTGTCATGAGACTGTCTTGGAAAAGCATTTAAATGACAGAATGTTCACTAATGTGACATAAAAAAAAAATTATGAATGAGTACATATTCAAAAGAATCTGCAAAAAATTCACCAAATCATAAAATTATTTGTCGTAAGACTGTGATGGAAAAACATTCACATGACAATAACTGCTTAACTGTTCATTAATGTGACAGAAAATTAGTGGGACACATTAATATTCTTGAATTTAACTCCATCTGCTTTTTTTCCCACAGAGTATCCTGTGATTGTGACTGTGATTGGGAAGTTCTCCTCTTTCACTATAGTGTATGTGTACACTGCTGAGCTCTACCCAACGGTTGTGAGGTACGTGCTGCATATGTATGAAATGAAACCTGCACGAACACTCACTCTATAACAAGGAGTTCTCAACTCTGGCCCTTGAAGTCCACTTTCCTGCAGAGTTTAGCTCCAACCTTGATCAAACTTGCTTGCCAGTAACTTTCTAGTAATCCTGAAGACCTTGATTAGCTTGTTAAGGTGTGTTTGATTAGGGTTGGAGCTAAACTCGGCAGGAAAGTGGGCTTCGAGGGCCAGAGTTGAGAATGCCTGTTCAATAATCTTCAATTATAGATTGTAAATGAGCTCTTGTTCTTAAACTCAATCATATAGGCAAAATGGAGTGGGACTGAACTCCATGTGTGCACATGTAGCTGGTATTCTGGCTCCTCTGATTGGCTTGTTGGACGTGTATCATCCTGCTATTCCAATGGTCATATACGGCTCTCTTCCTTTTGTGGGAGGAGCTCTGACCTTCTTGCTTCCAGAGACACTAAACACTGACCTACAGGACCACAC